AGCCTGGCCAATATGGTGAAACCCTGTCTCTACTAAAAATACAACACTTAGCTGGGAATGGTGGTGTGCACCTGTAGTCCCAGCTACTCGGGAGGCTGAGGCAGAAGAATCACTAGAACCTGGGAGGCAGAGGTTGCAGTCAGCTGAGATTGTGCCACTGCACTCCAGCCTGGGTGACAGAGCGCAAGATTCCATCTTAAAAACAAAAACAAAAACTATCCTTAAAAGTGCTTACAATTAAATCAATAAGTAAGCATGTCACTTAGAGGTATGAAGTGAATTATCAAAATAAGCCCCTTAAAGATTCAAAAGTGGTTTTGTCCTGGGAGTGGGAATGGGGATAGGAGGGACAGGGGACTTTTATTTTTTAAAATAAGTTTTTAAAAATAGTAGTATTTTTTAAAACCATGAACATAAAGCATATACAAACATTTGAGGGCTGGGCACACTGGCTCAACACCTATAATCCCAACGCTTTGGGAAGTGGAGGCGGGAGGATCGCTTAAGCCCAGGAGTTGAGCCCAGCCTGGCCAACGTGGTGAAAGCCTAGCTCTACAAAAACACAAAAATTAGTCTGGCATGGTGGTGCACACCTCTAGTCCCAGCTACTGAGGGGTTAAGGGGGTGGCCAGGGGAGGGCTGAGGCCGGAGGATCTCTTGAGCCAGGGAGGTCGAGGCTGCAGTAAGCTGAGATCACGCCACTGCACTGGGCGACAGAGTGAGATCCTGTCTCAAAAAAAAAAAAAAAATTCCTGGCCTAGCTGGGCTCCGTAGCTCATGGCCTGTAATGGCACACTTTGGGAGGCTGAGGCCGCGGTGGATCACTTGAGGCCAGGAGTTGAGACCAGCCTGGCCAACATGGTGAAACCCCATCTCTACTAAAAATACAAAAATTATCCGGCCGTGGTGGCACATGCCTGTAATCCCAGCTCTTTGGGAGGCTAAGGCACCAGAATCGCTTGAACCCAAGATGCAGAGGTTGCAGTGAGCCGGGATCGGGCCACTGCACTCCAGCCTGGGCGACAAAGTGAGACTACGTCTTAAAAAAAAAAAAAGCTGGTCGGGCGCGATGGCTCACGCCTGTAATCCCAGCACTTTGGGAGGCTGAAGCGGGCGGATCACAAGGTGGGGAGATCGAGACCATCCTGGCTAACAGGGCGAAACCCCGTCTCTACTAAAAATACAAAACATTAGCCTGGCGCGGTGGTGGGTGCCTGCAGTCCCAGCTACTCGGGAGGCTGAGGCAGGAGAATGGCGTGAACCCGGGAGGTGGAGCTGGCAGTGAGACGAGATGGTGCCATTGCACTCCAGCCTGGGCGACAGAGCGAGCCTCCGTCTTAAAAAAAAAAAAAAAAAGGCCTTGTATGAAATGATGGTAATAGAGGATGGCATTCCCCCAACCCCCCTTCCCTTTAATGTCCTTATTGGCTAAAACAAAACGTCGTTGAGTCCTGAAATCCCAGACTGGGGGCCTTGGGACCAGAACCCCAGGCAAAGGCCGGATAGACTGGCTCCGCGCGTCTGCAACCACGCGGCAGCCGGCAGGGGTCAGGCGAGCTCCATGCGACTTCCGAGCTGCGTCTGGTGAGCCAGGGCTGCGCTCCAAGAAGCGCGCTGCCTGGAGGGAGAGGGTCAGAGGAAGGACTCTGGACCTGCCCTAGGCTGGGGGTCGAGACAGATGACCACCCGGGTCTTAGGTCCCAGTTCCCGTCCGGCAGGCAGTGGACTGGGCACCTCTCTCCAGTCAGCGCGCTGCATTTACACCAGGTCTGGTCCCATCCCACCAAGGGCAACTCACCTTACCGGTCTTCTGAAAGCGTGTCCTGCGCGAAACCTTGCCTCCTGCACTCGGTTGTGCAAAGATCAAGGAGCTCAGACTTGAGAGAGTTACATGGGCAAGGGATTGTTATCACTGGATTATATGGATTTAGAATTAGGACTCAGGCTCCCGGGGAAGCCTGCTCTAGGACCCAGATGGTAGTTGTAAAAGATTACCGTGTCTAGAATCACCCTTGGGGATGTGATTAGGTCTGGGGCAGGATCCAGGAACCTGCATTTCTTTCAGGTTGCCAAATTCTGATAAGGGGTGTGCTCAGACCACGCTTAAAAAACATCCCAAGGTTCTGTTGCCCTCCCACAGAGCAGGCAGCATCAACAGCAGTGAGCTGCCCTGATAGTGTGACCTGCCTAAAATTGGAGTGGAATAAGAGCCAGCCGCAGGAAGGAGCAGTGCTGGCAGCTGGTGCTGCAGATTTGCCCAATGCATGTAGGCAACCAAACACGCCCACCAGAACCAAAGTAGACGTGCCCCTTGTTCTTCCATTTACCACTCAGGCTACATGGTTCATTTTGGTTTTTTTGCTTTTAATTGTAAAACATTTCTTTTGCTTCACATACAGAATCAGGAAAGAAATCACCTCCCCAAGTCGACAGGGTTTAGACAGACTGGATGAAGCGCCCCATTTTGCCACATTGTGTCTCCAGGCTGGTCGTTCCAGCCACACATTAAGCCAGCAAGATGGCCCTTTCAGTCACATTCATCTCCAACACAGCAGGGAGCATGGCAGGGAAGTGAAAGGGACTGCCTATGAGCCCAGGATCTTGCCCTCAGGATGGGACTGAACTGGGGTTGGTGAGGAGCTAACCCCACCTGTCTCAAGCCTCAGGCTAGGAACAGCAACTTGGCTGCAGGCCAGGACCAAAAGCTAGGATAGGCGCTGCTGGGCTGAGAGCCAAGAAAACCAGTTACTTCTTTAGGGAACTCGGAAGGGGTGGAACAACCTAGACCCATTCCCTTCTCAGACCACACTCTATCCAGGCTGTACAGTGGGGCCCAAAGCTGGAATTCTCAGAACATCCCCATTTTTGCCACTAGCAGATCTGGATTCTAGTTCATTTTGACCTTGACAAAGTCAAATTGTGTTGATCTTTTTAAAAACATAGGCGTAGTTTTCAGAAATCTATAAGCTTCCTTCTGGCTGTAAGAACTTAGCACTCTGGGCTCCCTGTTTCTTTTAAAACTCACTGGGAGATCTGGGAAAGGGAGGCTGAGACCTCTATCCTAAGGGCTGATTCTATCTTCCTGTCCCTCATGAAAGAACAGGCTGGAGGGCAGGAATAGGACCTGGACCAGCCACTCTCCAAGGACACAAGCTGGATCCAGAAAGGAAGCAGCGGCAAGTAGATTGCTTCTCCCCAAAATCACTGCTTTAGAAGCAGATGGGTTTGTTTCACAATATATTTAATACAAAATGGCAGCAGCCACTGTGCAGTAATAACAAAATTAGCCATAGGGTATCTGGAGAAATGTACACAGGCAGCCTCAGCTGGAGTCAGGCTAGCCAACTCCGGTCTGCTCGGGTAGGGCCTGTGCCTGCTGCCCAGTCAGCTGTGGGTGGTCACATGGCCAGGACTGGATGGTGCCCGTGGCAGGGTGGGGCAGTGCACAAGGGCTCAGAGGTGCTGTACAGGAGGAGCTAGTCTTCCAATAGCCCACAAAAGCACGCTGTCCTCTGCTCTGCCACACAGCAGACTCTTAGCAGCACATGTGTTCATTTACTTTGTTATTATTTTTTGAGACAGTTTCACTCTGTTGTCGCCCAGGCTGGAGTGCAATGGCACGATCACGGCTCCTGCAACCTCCGCCTCCTATGTTCAAGTGATTCTCCTGCCTCAGCCTCCCGAGTAACTGGGATTACAGGCGTGTGCCACCAGGCCCGGCTAATTTTTATATTTTTAGTAGAGACGGGTTTTCACCATGTTGGTCGTCAGGCTGTTCTCAAACTCCTGACCTTGTGATCTGCCCGCCTTGGTCTCCCAAAGTGCTGGGATTACAGGCGTGAGCCATCGCACCCAGCCTATTATTTTTTGAGACAGAGTCTCACTCTGTCACCCAAGCTGGAGTGCAGTGGTGTCATCTTGGCTCACTGCAACTTCTGCCTCCCGGGTTCAAGCAATTCTCTGACTCAGCCTCCTGAGACTGGGATTAGCTGGGATTACAGGCGCCTGCCACCACGCCTGGCTAATTTTTGTATTTTTAGTAGAGATGAGGTTTTACCATCTTGGCCAGGCTGGTCTTGAACTCTTGACCTCATGGTCCACCTGCCTTGGCCTCCCAAAAGTGTTGGCATTACAGGTGTGAGCCACTGCGCCCAGCCTATTTTTCTTTTCTTTTTTGAGACAGAGTCTCGCTCTATGGCCCAGGCTGGAGTGCAGCGGTGTCATCTTGGAGTGCAGGGAGGCACATTGCAACCTCCGCCTCCCAGGTTCAAGTGATTCTCCTGCCTCAGCCTCCTGAGTAGCTGGGATTACAGGTGTGCACCACCGCCCCTGGATAATTTTTGTATTTTTAGTAGAGATGGGGTTTCACCATGTCGGCAAGGCTGGTCTCCAACTCCTGAGCTCAAGTGATCCACCCGTCTTGGCCTCCCAAAGTGCTGGGATTACAGACGTGTGCCACGGCACCCAGCCATCATTTATTTTTATTTTTAGAGACAGGGTCTCACTTTGCTGCCCAGGCTGGAGTACAGTGGTCTCATCATAGCTCACTACAGCCTTGAACTCCTAGGCTCAAGTGATCTTCCCTCCTGGGCCTCCCAAAGTGCTGGGATTACAGGCACACACCACCCTGCCTGGCCAAGCATATGTGTTCATAAGCTGCTAGGAGATGATACTTCTAGAAACTGGAAGAAACAAGGGCCAGGTTTTTGTTTTGTTTTTTTGAGACAGAGTTTTGCTCTTGTCACCCAGGCTGGAGTGCAATGGCGCAATCTTGGCTCACTGCAACCTCCGCCTCCCGGGTTCAAGTGTTTCTCCTGCCTCAGCCTCCTGAAGTAGCTGGGGTTACAGGTGCCCGCCACCATGCCCAACTAATTTTTTTCTATTTTTAGTTGAGATGGGGTTTCCACATGTTGGCCAGGCTGGGTTTGAACTCCTGACCTCAGGTGATCCACCCACCTTGGCATCCTGAAGTGCTGGGATTACAGGCGTGAGCCACCACGCCTGGCTAGGCTAGGTTTTTAATTATTTTTTTTCCCCCAGAAAAGAGACTGCAAGTTGAATACGCCTTATCCAAAATGCTTGGAACCAGAAGTGTTTCAGATTTTAGGATTAGGGATACTTAACCTACACCAGGTTCCAATTCATGGAGGGGCCATGATTCTGCTGTGCTTGAGCAGAGAGATCGTCCTGCCAGAGGCTCACCCAAGAGAAAGAGGCGGGTATCTGCATGCCCCCAGATGCCTACCCTGGGAAGTGGGCTCAGAAGTTAGAGCGCAAGGACACAGAGTCACCAAAACCTGTCCCAACAATCCCCAGACAATATGCTTCCTGCTGAGTCCATTTTAAGTCACAGAACACTAGTCCTGGCACTGGCCCGGCTGTGAGGCCCATGATGCTTGGGAACTGTTGTGGAGAACTCAACCTCATCCAGAGGCCAGAGGGCTAACAAGACCAGCTGGGCAGGAGGGCCTGCTGCAGGCAGGGTGGGAGAGCCGCCACGTCTCTACTTGCCAAGAAAGGCTACTAGGTACAGGAAAAGGGGGCGAAGGGTCTCAGGACTAGTGAAAGTCTGCGTTGAAGGCTCTGCCGATGACCAGCCGCCTCACCTCGCTGGTCCCGGCCCCTATCTCATACAGCTTGGCATCTCGAAGAAAGCGGCCCATGGGAAAGTCATTGATGTAGCCATTGCCACCTGCAACAAGGGTTTGGGCAGAGAAGAAAGGAAGTGATTGACAGTGGGCAAAACAAAGAAAGCAAAGAGAAGGCCGAGTATATAGAAACAGGCCATAGGAGGAGAGACTGATTAAAGAAAAGCAGCAAAAGGTAGCAAGATGGAGGGGTGTGGGGAATACACTAGTCCCTTCTTATCCTTGGGGGATACATTCCAAGACCCCAGTGGATGCCTGAAACCGTGGATAGTACCAAACCCCATATATATGTTGTTTTTTCCCCTATACATACATATTTATGAGCAAGTTTAATTTATGAGTTAGGCACAATAAGAGATCAACAATAATAACTAATACTAAAACAGAACTATTATGACATGCCAGCATCACTATTCTTGCACTTTGGGGCCACTGAGTAAAATAATAAGAGTTACTTGAACACAGGCACTGTGATACCAAGACAGCTGATTGGATACTCTAGGTGACTACTAACGGGCAGGTAGCCCACATAGCATGGATAGGCTGCACAAAGGGACGTTTCACGTACCAAACATGACAGAGCAGCATGGCACAATGCTTCATCACGGTATTCAGAATAGTGTGGATTTTAAACTTATGAACTGCTTATTTCTAGAAATTTCCATTTAGCTTTTTTTTTTGAGAAGGAGTCGGGGTGTCTGACACCGCATGTTTGAGGGCAAGTGGCATGATCGCTCACGTGCAGCCTCCGCCTTTCAAGGTTGCAAGGCAAGTTCTCCTGCCTCAGCCTCCTGAGTAGCCGGGGGATATAGGCTGCACCACCAGCACGCCGGCCCTAATTTTGTAGGTTTGAGTAGAGATGGGTTTCACGCCATGTTGCAGGCTGGGTCTCAAAACTCCTGACCTCAGGATCGCGTGCCTGCCGTTGGGCGGCCTCCAAGGGGAGGGTCTGGGACTACGAGGGTTACAGGCCATCCGCGCGTGCCTTTTTTTGAGCATGGCAGTTACTGCTTGGGTCACCCAGGCTGGAGTGCAATGGCGCGAATCGTATGGTTGACATGGCAACTTCCGCGTGCGGTGCAGAGGATTTCCAGCCGCTCAGCCCTTCCAGACTAGGGGATTTACAGGCTGCCCGCGCCATCACCCGACGCTGGCTAAGTGTTTGTTTTTTTATGTTTGTTGCATTTTTGTAGAGATGGGTTGCTCGCGCAGTGTTGGCCAGGCTCCTTGAGAGCTCGCCTGAGCTCAGTGGATTCACGCCGCCTGCAGACTCTAAATGCGAGTTACAGGGTATGAGCGCACTGTCGGGCCCCGCAGTGTGCTTGTTTAGATGGGAGTCTCGCGCCTCTGGTCAGCCCAGGCTGGAGGTATGCAATGGCACGATCTCGGCTCACTGCAACCTCTGCCTCACGGGTTCCAGCGATTCTCCTGCCTCAGCCTCCCAAGTAGCTGGGATTACAGGCATGCACCACCACGCCTGGTTAATTTTTATATTTTTAGGAGAGATGAGGTTTCTCCATGTTGGCCAGGATGGTCTCAAACTCCTGACCTCGGGTGACCCGCCCACCTTGGCCTCCCAAAGTGCTGGGATTATTGGTGTGAGCCCAGCCCCATTTAGTATATTTGGACCATGGTTGACCACAGTAAATGAAGCTGTGAAAAGCAACACTGAGGAGAAGAAGGGACTACTGTACCTTGTTGGGGGTAGGGTGGGCAAGAGGTTGCAGCTGAAAGGCTACTCAGAGTGCTAAGGATACCAGACAAAGAAAGAGGGGTGCCACTGACAGGCATGGCAAATGGGGATGAGAGGACGCCAGCATAGCAGCTCAAGGATTCAAACCTCAGCTGCTCGGCTCGAGTCTGTGCTCTTAACCACCGCACAGCATGGAAACAAGGCTGGTCTATCTCTGAGACACCTCCCTTTCCCCATTTCCTAGCGTCTATGAGGCAGGGAGGATGAGAGGGGGGTGTTGCTGAAGGCAGCAGCAACTACTGGCATCTAGCAGTTTTCTCATTTGCTTTCCATTTCCTCCTTGTAACTGGGACAGAAAGAGCCCAAAGGTCCCAGCTCATCTGGGCCTAGCATAAGCACATAGTGAGGAGTGGAGAGGAGACTGCTTTTTTTTTTTTTTGAGACAGAGTCTCAGTCTGTCACCCAGGCTGGAGTGCAATGGTGCAATCTTGGCTCACTGCAACCTCCACCTCCCGGGTTCAAGCGATTCTCTTGCCTCAGCCTCCCAAGTAGCTGGGATTACAGGCATGCACCATCACGCCCGGCATGGGGTTTCACCATGTAGGCCAGGCTAGTCTCGAATTCCCGGCCTCAGGTGATCCACCTGCCTCGGCCTCCCAAAGTGCTGGGATTATAGGTGTGAGCCACCTCGCCCGCCCTGAAACGCTTTCTGAAGCAGCCACAGGCCCCAAGAGTGAGGGAGCCCTGGGAGTGGGGAGTGGGGATCACTCACCAAAACACTGAATGCCATCCAGGGCTACCTGTGTGGCGCACTCAGCTGAGTAAAGAATCACACCTGCACAGTCCTACGGGAGGAAGCTCGGGTCAGGAGGGCCCTGCGAGGCACGCAGACAGCAAGTCCCAGCCGCCGGCCCACTGCCCCCCTCTCTCCCGGACTGAGGCGGTTCTCACCTTGGCAGTGCAGTGGCCCTCATCGCAGGCCTTGGCAACATTGTAGACGTACTGCCGACATGCCATGAGGCGGGTGTACATGTCAGCCATCTTCCCCTGCATCAACTGAGCACAAAGGGATGTCACAGGTCAACATGCTGGAACACTCTCCCAGTTACCAAAAGCCAGGTCAGCAATGGCAACAAGACAGCCAAGGATGAGGAAGCAGGGACATGGAGAGGAGATGGGATTTACCCAGGATGACGGAGATGGAGGCAGGTGTGGGAGTTAGGGCCAGAGAGTGGCCATTCCACGGCCCGCATGACACCTTCAAGTGGCCATCACTGCCTCCGAAAGGCATGGCTCCCAAGGCACCATTTACTCCAACGCTTATTACCTTCCAGCAGCTTCTTCGGACCAGATGGTCTAATTACAAATAGCAACCTCTTTCCCTTCTGCCCCCACAACCTGCACGCTTTGCTCTCCAACCTTACAACGTCTAGTTCATCCACCTCACACAGGCATCGAGGTGGCAATGTGATGAACTTCCTGATGACTTCCAGAGCCGGGCTGCACGCTGAGGAAGACTGCATTCCAAGCAGTCAAGCTCAATTTGCTAGAGGAGACAGTGAACATCCACGGTGCCCACCTCACTTCCTCTCTTTTCAAAGAAAACTTCAGCCCAGTCGAAGCGTACATGTCAGCAAAAGCACGCGGCTCACCTGGAAGTGGCCGATCTTCTGGCCAAAGGCTTCCCTCACGTGCAGGTAGGGAATGGTGTGGTCCAGGACCGCTTGCATGAGCCTGTCAGAAAGGAGAAAGGTCCTATGGGCACCTCCTCATCCCACTGGGCGTGGTGGCAAAATGCTAGCGTGGGAGGGCCGGAGTCCCAGGGAGGAGAAAAGCAGCCTCAGAAACTCTAGCCGCAGTTGTGGCACTGACTGACCAGAGGTGCAGGGGTGTGACAGCCCAGGTGTCGTTCCACAGCCGAGTGAGCCACCCTGCTCCTCAGGCCTTTGGTCTGTCACTTAATGATATTTCCCTGCTATGGGAAGAAATTCAACATGGGAGGAGGTGGTTCTTTTTGTCTCCCAGGAGAGTGCGGGGCCAGGAGGCAGCTCCCTTTGGCCCCCAAGGGGAAGGATGCTGCTGCTCATGGTGGGCCACTGGCCAAGGAGGCCGACAGAGCCCAGCTTCCCCCAAGCCTCACACTTACCCGAGAGGACCCCCGGCCAGCACCAGCCGCTCCAGGTCCAGCCCACTCATCAGCACGTAGACACCCTTATTCTCATGGCCCAGGATGTTGGCAGCTGCCAGGATAAGTGCTGGTCAGAGGGAGAGAGCTGTCCACAGCCTCCTCACTTTTATCAAAGGTACTAGATGTGGAAACATGGCTCTCAAGTAAGGCACTAAAATATGTCACTTGACCTTTATTCAACTAAGGTTCCAGGTAAAAGAAAACGATCAAGTGAACCCCTTCCAGTCAGAAGTGGAGCTGCCAGGACCCCCACCCTATCCACAAGGCCAACCACAAAGCCCAGGGTTGTTAGATCTTTCCCGTCCCTCTCTGGACTCCCTTGGATGGGAAAGAAGAAAAGTTAATTGGTCTAGAAGTCACCCAATCCCTCCCTGACTCTTTCTACACAGGCACCTATAAAGAAACCAGAGAGTTACTCTTTCCCCAGGTGGAGTCAGCTCTGGTCCAGTGTCACCTCCCTGCAGGGGAGTCCACGAAAGCTTCTTTGTCCAGGAGACAGGCCATTCAGAGATAGTAACAGAAGCTGCTGAGCACCTCTCCACCCAGTAAGCCAGACTGGATGGCCTTGGGAGGTGTGGGCAGGAAAATGAGTTGACACCACTGACCTGCCTTTAATGCTAGCTGAATTTTTTCCTGTCAACAAAGAAGGAGCTGCACAGGTTCCCCTCCCTGGATGCTCCCTGTAATTAAAGCACACTTTTTTGGGCTGTCAGTGATAGGCATGGTACATGGCTGAGGCAGACAGCAAACCTAACTGGTGATCAAATCCACGCCCCTGGCCAGGCTCGGTGGCTCAGGCCTATAATCCTGGCACTTTGGGAGGCTGAGACGGGTGGATCACCTGAGGCCAGGAGTTCAAGAGCAGCCTGGCCAACATGGTGAAACCCCATCTGTCTACTAAAATTACAAAATTAGCGGGGCGTGGTGGTGTGTGCCTGTCATCCCAGCTACTCAGAAGGCTGAACCCAGGGGGCAGAGGTTGCAGTGAGCTGAGATCGCACAAAAATGAGACTTAAGTATCAGTTTCATTTTAAAATATTAAAAGCAATGAGTAAAAACGTGTTTCTTCTTTAAAGCCAAAAAAGGCACAATGAAAAAGGAAATTGCACTCCAGCCTGGGCAACAAGAGTGACACTCCATCTCAAAAAAACAAAAAAAAAATTAGCTGGGCAGGGTGGCGTGTGCCCATAATCCCAGCTCTTCGGGAGGCTGAGGCATGAGAATCATTGGAACCTGGAAGGTGGAGGCTGCAGTGAGCCGAGATCACGCCACTGCACTCTAGCCTGGGTGACAGAGCCAAGACTCCTTCTCGAAAAAAAAAAAAAAAATACCCAAACAACAAATCCACGCCCCTGGTCTGGTTAGTACATGATGGCTGCGCTGGCTCTCCCACAGTGCTCCACCATGTCATATTTCAGTTACACCTCGGGGGAGAAAATACTCATACTCAAACAGAACTGCCTTCTCTTCACTGAGTCTGGTTTCCATCAGTGGATTCAGATGTTTTTTTTTTCTTAGCATCATTAATGCTAAAAATGAATAACTCATTTTTAAATTTTTTTTACAAAAATGTGAGTTAATGAGTTACTTACATGCAGTGGACGGGCGAAAGTACAGGAAGACTGAAGGACATCAGTGGGAAAGGGTAGGTCTGACCCTTCTCTGGCTACTGAGTACAGACTCTCTGTGGAGCGTGTGATGCCAGTTAGGCATGCCGCTGCAGGGCCCTGGACAGGAAGGAGCGCTGTCCCGCAGCCCCAGCTCACAGCCTAGACACATGTCACTGAAGAGCTAACAATGCCAAGCCTGTCTAACCCAGAGGCTTTCTCAGCTTGAGAAAAGCCAGATCAGCCTGGAAGGGGGTCAGGAGAGGGGCTCCCCGATTCTCGGTGCTACTTACCAGGAACCTTACAGTCTTCAAAGATTAGCTCACAGGTGTCAGAGCCCCTCATCCCCAGCTTGTCCAGCTTCTTAGAGGTGCTAAAGCCAGGCATACCCTTTATAGGAATCAAAAGGCAGTCCTGGTTACAGATTAGCCCCAAGGGGGCCTGGTAAAGGAAAGGCCCCTGGGAAGAAGGCACCCACCTTCCTACTGAGTCCCTGTACCTGCACAGCATGGCAGCATCCTAGTCCCATGCTCCCCCCAGGTCCTTCAAGTGCTAACGCCCCAGATTGATCCCAGCCTCCTCTGCCACTAGCTTGTGTTCTCCCCAGTTCTCAAGGGGACAGTTCTTTCTCAATGATATGCTCAGTTCTCTGAGCCCTCCTGACCCCCCGGCCTTATTTCCTTCCCCCAGGGGACATTACTTCCAAGACACTGTCATCAGCCCGGTCAATTCCCTTATCCTCTGTTTTCTCCTGTCTGTACCCAAAGGGATATCACTAGGGCTGAACTGAGCCCTCTGTGCTTTGACCTGGACTACTGGATTGCAGCATGTTTTGGCAAGTGCCCAGCAGAGTGCTGAACATGCTGCCGTTCGACCTGTAATGAGGAGGGCGCCATGTAACCTTGAGATTTCCAATCTCAGCCAGGTCCCTACTGCTCCAACTCTAGACAGCTACTTTCCCCCGCTCTATGGAGGGTACCGCAAACCTTTACAATACTCGCTCGTGAAACTCTCTGCCAACTCCCCCCCATGGCCCCAGCCCTCACAGGGCCCCTGGCTTCCTCCTCATGATTGCCAGGCAGGTGGCTCCTGCACCATCACCTGTAACCCATCCTTCTCTCTCCTGTCCCCGCTCACCATTGTGTTCTGCCCACTCATTCCCAGACGCCTCAATTGCTCCCTCTATTTTCCTTTTTCTTCCCTTTTTTTTCCCTTCTGACCAAAAACTTTGCTCAGTTCTCTCATTCCTAAAAACACACCCAAACTCCTAACTTTTTGTTTGAACTCCTGCCCTGCTTCCTTCTTGCTTTTGTTGTCAAGGCTGTTGCAGGGGCAGTCTCCACTTATATCCCACCCACACCTCAGTCTCCCACGGCCACACTCATCAGGTCCACCAATGTACCCTGACTGTCACGTCCTGACCTCCTTTCAGTCCTTCCCTTTCTAGACCTCTTTGTGTGGCCTGGCACTGAGGACGGCTCCACTGTCTTCAGAAGTGACCCATCTGCCCTGGACTTCCTGGTTACCCTCCTTGCAGTCTAATCTCTGTCTCATCCCCACCTCTGGGGGCCTTGCAGAGCACACAACACTGATTGCCTTTGAGATCAGTGAAGGGGCTATCTCTGGTGCCACTGTCAGGAGGCAGACGCCTCCCTGGCCCTACACCCATCTATACTCACCTTCTCTACAATGAAGGCCGTGATGCCCCGAGAAGCCGGCGTAGCAGCCAGATCTGTCTTGGCATAGACAATCAGGACGTCAGCATCAGGGCCATTAGTGATCCAGGACTTGTTGCCATTCAGGATGTAGTGATCTCCTAAGGGCAGGATGTTGGCTATTTGCTCAAGCCATCTCGGCCTGTCTCAGCCAGGCCATAGACCTTCTGCTGAGCAAGTAGCTGTCCAGCTCTGAGAAAGTTCTGGAAACCCAACAGGGGCCACCCCCAATTGTTCCTCCCTCACCCTGATAATGTCTGAACTTCTGCCCATTTTGTCTCCCAAGTCGAGAGCAGCCTCACCTTTCTTTTCCGCTTTGAGCTTCATAGAGACAACGTCAGAGCCTGAATTGGGCTCACTCATAGCCAGGGCTCCGATGTACTCACCACTGGTCAGCTGCAAGGAAAACCCCCAACAGGCCTTGTTACAACCTCGGAGTACTCTAGAGCAGCTCACTGATACTGCTGCTTCCTGTCCACGTTACACCCCTTCAAACTTCTCACACCAGGGTATCGGTAAAGTCCTAGAAGTCTCTTCTAAGAAGCCCAATGGCTACAAGGCTGAAAATGCCTCTCCTTTTTCCATTCCCTTTGCAAAGAAAGCTAGTCCTACTCTTCCATTTCTTAGAGTTCTCTTCAAATGTTGTCTGTCTGTTGTTCAATGCAAGAGGTCTGGTCCTATTTTTATTTTTGGCTCAAATATTTTAAAGCAATCCATGGCCCCTTCCTAACCACGCTGGGTTCATGGCAGCATGCTACAGAAAGCAGGTCTCACTGGCCCTCACCAAGGGGAGAGGGTGCCTTATAGCTGGTTGTTGCACTGTGAGATTAGCAAGTATTACATTTCCATTTCCTTACCTTTGGCAGATACTTCTCTTTCTGGGCCTCATTCCCATTGCGCACAAGCTGGTTGACGCAAAGGTTGGAGTGGGCACCGTAACTGAGCCCCACTGCTCCAGAAGCTCGGGATATCTCCTCCATCACTAGCACATGCTCCAGGTAGCCCAGGCCAGAGCCGCCATACTGAACTGGGAGTGGTGTGGTACAAGGGAATGGAAAAGGCAGCCCAGATTAAATTGGGATATTCCATTTGTTGGCAGAAGGGAAACACCTTGTAGCACCTATTCCAAATTCCCTCTAGCAACAAGAATAAGCTGATGCCACAGACCTGCTTATAAGCTCACTGGACTGGTTTTGCCTGCTGCTGCTTGTCAGCTGAGGGGTGATTCAGAAGGCAATCATTGCAACTCCTGCTTTATCCCAGACAGACCTCTTGATGAAGATACGTGAACAACCTGAGCACCCACTACTCAGAAAGTTACAGAAATGCAGAGGCAGATGAATAAATGAAGAAAGAGGGCCTGGAGTTTAACAGAGAAAAACAAAGACATTGGGATGGAGGTGGTATCCAAAGCACCAAGAACAGATACAAAGCCAGAGGATGTGATGTGTCTGCAAAAGGCCCAAGGAAGGTGAGATTTTATAGCATAGGGCTGAACCCAAAGAAGCAGGACTGATAACAGGACAGGAGAGCCACAGCCTCAGGGACAATCTTCAGGTGGGCTGTGCAGCAGAGGGAAGATGAGATGCTGGCAGAGAATTTCAGAACTCCTCATAAAATACATGGTTTTTCCTTGGCAGCAGATCCAAACTCAAAGTGGCTGGGTCACCTGATACCACCCCCAGCCCTGCTGATTGGGTCAAGCCTAACAAGGTCCTATACACATGTTCACTCTGACCAACAAGTCAGGCTTGTCCTCGGCTCTAAGGAAAGCTTGACCTGCCCCTACAACTGCAGGAAGGAAAGTTTGAAGGCAGGTGACATTAGAAACAGCCACCAAGACATCATGCAGAAACTGGAACTTATATCCGGCTTTCTTTTTCAGGTTCCCTTGAAAGAGTTGTCATCAAATTTTTTCTTTTTTTTTTCAAGAGGCGGGCTCTCATTCTTTTGCCCAGGCTGGGGTGCAATGGTGTAATCATGGCTCACTGCAGCCTTGAACTCCTGGGCTCAAGCGATCCTCCTGCCTTGGCCTCCCCAGTTGCTGGGATTACAGAAGCCCACTACCACACCTGGCCATTTTCATCTGATTTCTAACTGCCTCTTTCTTCCATAAAATACAATCTGATTCAGAAGCATATTATCTGCAGGGAGTGGGGTACATAAACCGCCAAAACACAATAGGAGAGTCTTCCTTAGGAGTGACCAGCAGCCTTTCCCCCAATGCTTTTACATTAAGATGGTTGCAATTAATCTTTAAGTGGTTTCATTTTATGAAAGGTGATGTAACTTTCTAGGATGTAAGGAGAAGTATTGCGTTTCACTCATACTCTCATGCCCAGAGTGAATACAGGCCAAAGCAGGTTGGGCTTTTTTTTTTTTTTTAAATGGAGTCTTGCTCTGTTGCCTGGGCTGGAGTGCAGTGGCGCCATCTCAGCTCACTGCAACCTCCACCTCCCAGGTTCAAGCAATTCTCCTGCTTCAGCCTCTCGAGTAGCTGGGATTACAGGTATGTACCACCATGCCTGGCTAATTTTGTATTTTCAGTGTAGAAAGGGTTTCTCCATGTTGGTCAGGCTGGTCTCAAACTCACAACCTCAGGTGATCCACCTGCTTCGGCCTCTAAAAGTGCTGGGATTACAGGCGTGAGCCACTGTGCCTGGCCTAGGCTCATCTCTTTACTGGACACTGCAAGTCAGGCTGGGCCTCCTTCAGAGGTTAAGAATATCCAAACCAGGCCAGGCGCGGTGGCTCATGCCTGTAATCCCAGCACTTTGGGAGGCCAAGGCGGCTAGATCATGAGGTCAGGAGATCGAGACCATCCTGGCTAACACAGTGAAATCCCATCTCTACTAAAAATACATAAAATTAGCCGGGCATGGTGGCGGGTGCCTGTAGTCCCAGCTACTCGGGAGGCTGAGGCAGGAGAATGGTGTGAATCTGGGAGGCGGAGCTTGCAGTGAGCCAAGATCATGCCACTTCACTCCAGCCTGGGTGACAGAGTGAGACTCCATCTCAAAAAAAAAAAGAATATCCAAACCAGAGCCTGCCAGATCCCTGCCTTCTCCCTCTGGAGAGCCTAGTAAACACATCATCTGGCCACCTCACCTGGAAGCCCAGATAGACACCTCTCTCCCCTGCCCACCCTCCACCCTACTCCCCCTGCCATCTGCTCCCAAATGAGCACCAAGGTGTGGGCAGAAGAGGATACAGGCGGTCCCTGCAGGGACACCCTGCCCAGAGTGTTCCTGCCGAGAGGCCACGGGTAGGACAAAGCTTATAGGGATTAGGGGAGGTAGTAGGACTGAGGTACCATGAAGACAACCACTTGATCCAGAGTTTTCTAAACTTCCCAAATCACCTGGGTGAGCCTGTTAAGTAAGCAGAGTTCAAGAGTTGGACTGATCCTGATCCAAGTGAGCCACAATGACCAAGTTAATCCCTCTGCCTTCTCCACATCACTGTCTAATAAAATAGAAGAGTGTTCTGTTCTCTGGGCTGACAATGGGTGCTTTCACAGGTCCAAAAGATGCAGTTCTGGGTTTCTTTAAACACAGTCTTTCCCTTCCCTTCCTGCTTCTTTTGGGAACTGTCTTAAAGGGCACACAAGAAAAGTTCTCTTTAGGGAAATACACTATACTCACCAGGGGCTGTGATGCCCAATACGCCCAGGTTCCCCAGCTGCTTCCAAAACTCCTGCCAACAGAATAGAGTGGAATGAGTGTTGAGGGGAAGGCAGCCAGTCACATGTGGCTGGAACAATGAGACCCAAACACTTCAGAAAGAGGGGCTGCATTCTTAGGGAGGCTTCATTTACCAGAAAACTGCGTGAGCTCTTCCAGGCAGCAGTGAAGCTCAGCCCCACTCCCAGACTGCCCCCCAATGCCCACGCCTCCCAACTCACTCGCAGGTTCTTGAACTCATTGCTGCAATCAATCTCCTGGGCCTTGGGGGCCAGGTGCTCCTGAAGGAACTTAGCCATGGTCTGACGAAGCTAATAGGAGAGAAGTAAACAGATGCCACTGCGGAAAGCATCTCCACTACCAAGGCACATTCAAGAGAAAAGGTCACAAGTAACTTCACCAAACAGCATCGGACTGAAAGTGAGAGGCCTCAGCAGTTTATGCCTCCTCAGAGATGATCTTCTTTCTTAAGGTCTTCAGCTTAGATAGCTTGATGGTAATTTTTAAAACGTCACACCCTACGTAAAAATCATTCCATTGGTTTCCACTATACTTAGAATGAAACACAAGCTTCTCACCCAGGCCTGCTAGGCCCTGCAGGAGCTGACCCCAGCTGACTCTCCCAGCTTCCCCAGCACCTTCCCACCTCCCACCCTCTGTGCTCCAGCTGCATTCCAGGCAGCCTCCAGATCTCAACAGTTGTCAGCCTCTTTCAAGCCCCTGAACCTTTGCCTAAAAGGGACTAATTACCCAAAGAGATTAGAAACTCCTCTTGGTGGCTGGGCATGGTGGTTCCCGCCTGGAATCCCAGCACTTTGGGAGGCTGAGGCAAGAGGATCACCTGAGGTTGGGAGTTTGAGACCAGCCTGACCAACATGGAGAAACTCTGTCTCTACTAAAGATACCAAATTAGCCGGGCGTGGTGGTGCACGCCTGTAATCCCAGCTACTTGGGAGGCTGAGGCAGGAGAATCACTTGAACCTGGGAGGCAGAGGTTGCGGTGAGCAGAGATCATGCCATTACACTCCAGCCTGGGCAACAAGAGCGAAACTCCGTCTCAAAAAAAAGAAAAAAAGAAAAAGAAAGAAACTCCTCTTGCCAGGAAAGCTTGAGAACAGGGATTGAACCCTTTCTGCCTGAGGTGGTTCACGGAAGCTCTGAGCGTTCGCTGGCTATAAACAAACTATGGAGTTACTGGAAGGCTCACACCTCTGCCAGCTCCATCCAGCCTCCAAATGAAGCCTCAGGAAGGACTCTGGTTCCGCTCCATTTGTAAATACTTCTTCGTCTTCTTCTTTTCTATTTTTTATGAGATGGGGATCTGGCTATGTTGCTCAGGCTGATCTCAAACCCCTGAGCTCAAACAATCCTCCCACCTCGGCCTCCCAAAGTGCTAGGATTACAGGTGTGAGCCACGGTGCCTGGCCTCTAACTGCTTCTTTGGAGTACTTGTTCAACTTTGTGTTTTGACCCAATGGGCTGAGGAGCGACAGGAGAGCTCACTGTAGCTTTTTAAAACCCTCAAACTGTTTATACAAAAAAGACTCCCTGGTGATTACGATGATCACCCAGGTGTCAGAAGCATACCTCAGACTGTTCAGGTTAAGTGAACTACATACAGATTGAGGGCCCTTGTGCCACAAGCAGCCTGGCCAATCCTCCACCAAAACACCATCGGTCTCCCAGGAGCTCTCCCAGCCTCGACTCTTCTCTACTTCCAGCAGTACTGCCCTGCGGTCTCAAATCTTCACCCCACAGACGTCAGGCTGAGGTCAGAGGACCGGCCCCAGGCCGGAGGCCCGCATCCCGCCCGGGCGCTGGCGCTCCCAACGGCCCACGGGCAAAAGCCAAGGCTGGGTGGGCGCTGGGCCGATGGGGACCAGGCAGGAAGGAGACCTTGGGGCTAGGAAGGGGGTCAGTCTCCTCACCTGCCTCTGTTCCTCGCTTAGCCCGTTGATTGCATCGTCCACCGGTAAAAGCGAGTGGGCCCGCTGGGAAACGAAGCCGGCAAGCGGCGGCCGCAGCCTCCAGCTCGCCACACGCCACCTAAGCAGCCGAGTCGCAGTCGCCATCTCTACCCTGAACCAAGAGCGTGAGCTGCTGCTGAGCCAGCTCTTAGCTCCACCAATCCAGGCTTCGCCGACCTGCAAACCGACGAGGGGGTGGGTCTGCAGCAGCCAATCACCCTAGGCGGCCCACCGAAGGCGGTGCTGCCCTTGGACCGCACCCGAGCCGATCAACCGTGATCGCCCGCCAGCTTCCAGCCAATGCAACGGCCGCAGGCCGGGTGGCCCTGCCCTGAGCGCTGGAAATGCTGGCGTGCTCCCTAGGATGGGTGTTTTTAGCGGGGTAGAAGAGGAAGTTTTTTTTTTTTTTTTCTTTTTATCTCCCTGCGTTGAAATAGCAGCCCTTAACTGCAGAAATCTCTCTGTGGGAAAGCAAAGTGTGGAAACAGCAATCAGAAAACTGCCCACGTGCCCAGTAAATTGGTCAAGCATCTCTGGAATAATTAAGATCGGAAAAGTAGTGCTTGCTCTAATGTGCACACTGATTATAACTTAGTACACCTTGCTTTATTTGCTTTATTATATGACAAGGTTTGTAGATTTTGATTCACGGTTTTTTGTTTGTTTGTTTGTTTTGAGACAGAGTCTCGCTCTGTCGCCCAGGCTGGAGTGCAGTGGAGTGATCTCGGCTCACTGCAAGCTCCGCCTCCCGGGTTCACGCCATTCTCCTGCCTCAGCCTCCCCAGTAGCTGGAACTACAGGCGCCTGCCACCACGCCCGACTCATTTTTTTGTATTTTTAGTAGAGACGGGGTTTCACCGTGTTAGCCAGGATGGTCTCGATCTCCTGACCTTGTGATCCACCCGCCTCTGCCTCCCCAAGTGCTGGGATTACAGGCGTGAACCACTGCGCCCGGCCTTGATTTATGTTTTATGGGAAAGGGGCTATTAAGGAGTAGCTGCCTTCCAGATTGGAGACTTGCCTCGATTTACAGTGGGGTTACTTCTCGATAAACCCATCATAAATGGAAAATATTTTAAGTCAAAAATGCACTTTAAAAATACACCTAGGTCGGGTGTGATGGTTTACGCCTGTAATCCCAGCACTTTGGGAGGCCGAGGCAGGTGAGTCACCTGAGGCCAAGAGTTCAAGACTAGCCTGACCAACATGGAGAAACCCTGTCTCTACTACAAATACAAAAATTAGCTAGGCGTGGTGGCGCATGCCTGTAATCCCAGCTACTCAGGAGGTTGAGGCAGGAGAATCACTTGAACCCAGGAGATGGAGGTTGCAGTGAGCTGAGATTGCGCCATTGCACTCCAGCCTGGGCAACAAGAGCGAATTTCCTTCTCAAAAGAAAAAACAAAAAAACACTAACCTACCAAACATCATAGCTTAGACTAGTGGACCTTAAACAGACTCAGAACACTTACAATAGCTTATCACTGAGCACAATCATGTAACACAAAGCATATTTTATAAGACAGTGTTAGATATAATTTATTGAATATTGTACAATATCTATTGAATGTCTATCACTTTCACACCATCATAAAGTTGAAAAATCTTAAGTAGGGCTGGGCGCGGTGGCTCACGCCTGTAATCCCAGCACTTTGGGAGGCAGAGGCGGGCAGATCACGAGGTCAGGAGATCGAGACCATCCTGGCTAACAAGGTGACACCCCATCTCTATTAAAAATACAGAAAATTAGCTGGGCGTGGTAGTGGGCACCTGTGGTCCCAGCTAGTCAGGAGGCTGAAGCAGGAGAATGGCGTGAACCCGGGAGGCGGAGCTTGCAGTGAGCCGAGATCACGCCACTGCACTCCAGCCTGGGCGACAGACCGTAAGTTGGGGACCATTTGTATTTAATATGTGTTAAATATTAAATAGTACATATTTAAGTATTATACTATATATATTAAATAAGATGTATTAAATAGGCTGGGCGTGGTGGCTCATGCCTGTAATCCTAGGACTTTGGGAGCTTAGGTGGGAAGATCGTTCGAGGCCAGGAGTTCAAGACCATCCTGCGCAACATAGGGAGACATTGTCTCCACAAAACATTTGAGAAAACAAACAACAAGAGATGTATTAAATAGTAAATAATACGTATTTAATACACCATAGGAATAACAGTCAGGACTTAGAAACACGGGTTTGGGACACAGGGAAAGGAAGAGTGGTGAGGGGAAAGAGGAGAGCTGATGGAATTAAGTCTCTATTCCCTCCCCACTTGCTCTATTTACCTCCATGTTGTGTCAATGTTCTTTATTTTTAAAATTTAATTAATTAATTAGAGACAGGGCGGAGGGGGGACGGTCTCACTATGTTGCCCAAGCTGATCCAAGGGCTCATGTGATCCTCCCGCCTTAGCCTCCCAAAGTGCTAGGATTACAGGCATGAGCCACGGAACCCAGCCGAGTCAATGCTCTTGAACAACTCATCTCAGATTGGTACCCTGAGTCCAGGAACGGGTCTACGCAATCCCACTACATAGCTGTGGGACTTTCAGCAAGTTCCTTAGATCTTTTCAGTCGCTGCTTTATCCTCTTTAAAGTGAAAACAATACCAGCCAACTTTAAGGCTATTATGAGGAATAAAGGTGATTGCATACTTAATGATTCAGCACAGTACTTGGCACATTGCTCTAATTTTCAGATCATTCATACCACATCCAACTTCCCTGCACCCATTCCTCAGCTTCTAACTTACCCCCTTACCATAATTTGAAGTCCTATTGAGAAGTTAACGCCCGATCATAGCACTGCTTTATTTTTTTTTTTAATCAGGCAGAAATTAATTTTTTTTTTTTTTGAGTCAGGATCTCTGTCACCTAGGCTGGAGTGCAGTGGCAAAATCATGGCTTACTGCCATGACATTCAAGCAATCCTCTGACCTCAGCCTGCCAAGTAGACAGGACTACAGGCATATGTTACCAGCTTAATATATATATCAATACACATATACATACACACATATATACATACATATATATGTATATATGTATATTGTAGAGATAAGGGTCTCACTCTGTTGCCCAGGCTGGTCTCAAACTCCTGGCCTCAAGCAATCCTCCTGCCTTGGCCTCCCGAACTGCTTGGATTACAGGCATGAGCCACTGCACCAGCCCACCTTTATTAGTTTCTTGAATATTCCAGTATTTTATGTAAATACAAGCAATTATGAATATATATTCTTCTTACACTTAACAAAGTATCTTGGAGATCTTGGCATATCACTATGTTAAGAGCGTCCTCTTTTTTCTTTTTTTAAAGACTATTCCACTGTATAGACACACCATAGTTTTTCTTCTTATGAATGAGGTGGAGGATTTTTTCATACAGAAAGCCCTTATTTTTCTGTGGACTGTTAGATCATGTCCTTTGCCTATTTATGTGTTGCACTGTTGGCACTTTTCTTAACTCAAACCTACAATAAATGTGTAGGTTCACTGGAAAAGAATCAGGTCTGAGAGGAAAGACTTTGAGCTTGTTTTGGGCACAATTATGTTTGAAGCACTTTTGAGTCATCTTAAGAGGTAATGTGGGCCAGCCATGGTGGCTCACACCTGTAATTCCAACATTCTAGGAGGCTGAGGCAGTAGGATCACTTGAGGTCAGGAGTTCGAGACCAGCCTGAGCAACACAATAAGACTAGTCTCTACAAAAAATTTTAAAAATTAGCCAGGCATGGTGGGTTGTGCTTGTAGTCTCAGCTTCTTGAGAGACTGAGACTGGAGGATGGTTTGAACCCAGGAGTCTGAGGTCACAGTGTGTTATGATCGGGCCACTGTACTCCAGTCTAGGCAACAGAACAAAACACTGTCTCTAAAAAAAATTAAAAACAGAAAATAAAGAGATTAACAAAATTAAACTGGGTGCTGTGGTACATACCTGTAATCCCAGCTACTCAGGTGGCCAAGGTAGGAGGATTGCTTGAACCCAGGGGTTGGAGTCTAGTCTGGGCAACATAGCAAAAGCCTATCTCCTAAAATAAAAAAAGATTTTAAAAATTGATAAACTGCTAGCAAGACTTATCAAAAAAAAGAGGAATTGCAAATATCTGATATCAAGAATTAAAAAGGGGATGGCTCTCAAATCCTACAGATATGAAAAAGATAAGGATATTTTGAGCAATTTATGCTAATAAATTTGATAATGTAGATGAAATGGACAAATCAAACTGACACAAACTGACATAATAGAAAAATCTGAATAGTCCTTTATCTACCAAATAAATTGAAATTCACAATGAAAAACCTTCCATGAAGAAAACTCCAAGCCTAAAAGACTTCACTAATGAATTCTTCCAAATACTTAAGTAAGAAATATGGGTATAGGCTGGGGGCGGTGGCTCACGCCTGTAATCCCAGCACTTTGGGAGGCTGAGGTGGGCAGATCACGAGGTCAGGAGTTCAAGACCAGCCTGGCCAACATAGTGAAACCCCATCTCTACTAAAAAGACAAAAAATTAGCCGGGCATGGTGGCAGGCACCTATAATCCCAGCTACTTGGGTCGCTGAGGCAGGAGAATCGCTACAATCCAGGAGGCAGAGTTTGCAGTGAGCTGAGATCACGCCACATCACTCCAGCCTGGGTGACAGTGTGAGACTCCGTCTCAAACCAAAATAAATAAATAAATAAATAAATAAATAAATAAATAAGGGTATAAACCTAAGAGAAAATAAATAAGAAGGAATACCAAACTTATTATTTCAACTCATTTTATGAGGCCAATATAACCCTGACACCAAAAATCTTACAAGAAACATTACAAAAGAAGGCAGGGCGCGGTGGCTCATGTCTGTAATCCCAGCACTTTAGGAGGCCAAGACAGGTGGATCACGAGGTCAGGAGATCAGACCAAGCTGGCTAACACAGTGAAACCCCATCTTTACTAAAAATACAAAAAATTAGCCGGGCATGGTGGCGGGTGCCTGCAGTCCCAGCTACTCGGGAGGCTGAGGCAGGAGAATGGCGTGAACCTGGGAGGTGGAGCTTCCAGTGAGCTGAGACTGTACCAGTGCATTCCAGCCTGGGAGACAGAGCGACACTCCATCTCAAACAAACAAACAAACAAACAAAAAACAGAAAGAAACATTACAAAAGAAAATTACAGGGTGGGCACGGTGGCTCACGCCTGTAATCCCAGCACTTTCGGAGGCCTAGGCAGGTGGA